TCATTTAAATTGTATTCCGTCATATCACAGACTCCATGTACCTGTGGAAGATGAGGATCAGTTTTTGTGCCACATGTGCTATCGAGAGAGTAATACTGACTCATCTGACGGTGATTGTGATGCCATGTTTAGCTCTGCTTGTGAAGAAGCACGGAAACAAGGCTTCGGTTCAAACTTTATGCTATAAAACTATATTAATTTTAAACTTGTTGATTTGTTGTTCGTGTGAATTAAGAAAGTTCCTATGTCGTATTATTTTTGATCTCATATTAATATTACGGGTAAAATTTTGATTTATTGTCTAACATAATGAATGTTGTTTTGTTTAAAGTTTATTTTTTTTATATTCCTTTGTATATAGTAGGATGAAACAGAGGCTTATTTCATGTGGCCAATTAATAGTTTAATGACGGCCAGTTTCTAAAATTAGTGGCCAGTAACTACCAAAAGTGATAGTTTTTTGATTTTATTAAAATTTGATACAAAATATTGTTTTGTTTTACTTTTAAAATCCCGAATTATGTAAAATAATGTGCATATTATTTAGTGGCATTGCAATAAATCTAATATAATAACTTATTTTGACATAATTAAAGTCTGACTTTGTGAAAGTGCTTAAGTGGCCAGTTACTGGTGGTTTTACCCTATATGTCGATTTTTAATACTTCATAAAAGGACGAGGTTCTACGTTCGGCTGTAAGTTTTTTTTTATTTTATTTTTTATGTATGTTCACTGATTTGTCCATAGTGGACTGATTTTGAATCCTATTAATTTTTTCTTCCATAATGTATGTCTCACATTTGACCCCATATAAATGTCATAGAAATAATTTTAACCATGACATACGTTGTGATTGAGTTTTGTTGAAGTCGGTTGAACAAAATTTTCAATTTTACCACGTCTAGTAATAATATTAGTCCGTTAGAAAATGTTGTTCATATTACTAAATCTAATTGCTAATTTACTAATCTAAATTTTAACAATGAACCGAATTAAAGGTAAACTAGCTTTTGCCCGCGACTTTTGTCCGCGCTAGTTATCCATAAAATACATTATTAACTATTATCATTCTATTTATTTTTCAGTGACTCTGAGCTTGACAAGGAATTACCGGACAGTAATATGCAGGAACGATGTACTCTTAATATTCGTCGAATGAATATTAGAGGTCTAACAGCGCTACATCGATGGAAGAAGGCATAATAGTGGAGGGTTTCCAAAAAGTGTTGAAAATATTGCGTTAAATATCACATGCTGATCGGCGATGGCGACTCTGGTATCATAAATGGACTACTGATTACTATGCCATACGGTTCTAACCTCATGGTTAAAAAGGTAGAATGCAAAAATCACCTTTTCAGAAATTTTTGTTTCAATTTTTAAACAGTTGGGGAAGAAAACTAACAAGCAATAAGATTACTTACCAGTACATACAAGAAAAAGAGTTGTGAGCAATGTTTTGCGTCGCTTTTACGTAGTAGAGCCATGTTGCAGTTATATTAGTAGTATAGTTGTAGCACGAATGGGTCGGCTCGACCGGGGAAGGACCACGCTCTCACAGAATACCAGCGTCAAATAGTAGCTTAATGCTGCTGTGTTTCGTATGGTGATTGTAGAGAACCGGAGACCCTTTTTACTGCAAACGAGGCATTCCACCTAAGTCCTCACGGATGACAACGCATCTGCATTTTGATTCGTAATCGAGGATAGATGTACTCGTAGATGTCTATGGGCCACTGCAACCACTTACCATCAGGTGGACTGTGTGCTCGTTTGTCATCCTACTCTATAAAAAAAAGTAGTTGGCGCCGTAAAACATTGGAAGAACGAAGAAATCACTGACGTGGAAAAAATTAAAAACGTCAAAAATGACGTAAAAATCAGTGCCAATCATGTTTTTAAGAAAAGAAAGAAGAGTTTTTGGCTTCTTTGAAAAAAAAAACGAGGATGAAATAAAAGAATTAGAATTGGCTAACAGAGGTCAAAGAGACAATGATTTGTGGCACAATGAACGGAGAAAAAGGCTAACTGCATATAAATTTGGAAAAATCGCAAACTGCGCCCTTACTATATACTCATTTCAAAGGAAATACGGCAACCGAATATGGAAACCAACACGAATCGGAGGCAATACGAGAATTTTCCACAACTACCAATCTAAAAGTTTCGGTGTGTGGACTGTTTATTGATTAAGATTATTTATTTGGGGGCAAGTCCCGATGGACTTATCGGAGATGACTCTCTAATTGAAGTCAAATGATTTCTTATATTTACGCGAACACTACACATTGAAATAATACTAATTTTTTACGGAATTTATCGCGTATATTTAACTTATTTACCCGACGTTTCGAGAGCTTTACAGCACCCATGGTCACGGGAAGGACTGAGATGTTCAACGTCCAGCTGTCATAGTTAACCGCGGTTACCATAGATTAAAATTTAACTTTTGTTCCGATCTACACAGTATGAACTTATGGTATCATGGAGTCTTGCAGTTGTATGTTTGGGTTGGGATTTAATTTTATTTATTATAGGATCCCAAGCAGATTGGTTGTATGTTTGGGTTGGGATTTAATTTTAATTATGATTGGATCCCAAGCAGATCACAATGGAGTTAGAGGCAAACAATTCCTTAGCTTTTCTAGATGTGTTAGTAATTCGGAATCCTGATAACACCTTGAGCCATACTGTGTATAGAAAAGAGACCCATACAGATAGATATTTAAACGGTGATTCTCACCACCATCCTTCACAGTTAGCTACCGTGGGTAAATCTTTGTTTCAGAGAGCACGAGGGATCTGTGACAGCAAACACCTGGCTGCCGAGCTCCAACATGTCAAGCAAGTTTTGCATGACAACAAGCTTCGGGTCCCGCGCCTACGTCACAGAGAACGAGTGAAGCCGGCCACAGTCGAGCGTGTACCTGCTGTACTGCCGTATGTTAGAGGAGTCACTGACAAGATTGGCTACATCTTGAAGCGCGCTTCCATCAAAACATACTTCAAGCCGCCGAAGAAGATTGGTCAGTTTTTACCATCAGTCAAGTGTAACGTCCCTCTGCAAGATGCAGGAGTGTACAAGCTTGATTGTGAATGTGGTCTCTCCTACATAGGACAAACTAAAAGATCAATTAAAACCCGCGTCAAAGAACATATAGCTGATGTGAAGAATCGACGCTCCGGGAAGTCTGCAGTCTGTGAACATGTACAGGATCGCCCCCGTCACTACATCAGATTTGATAGACCACAAATCCTCGCTAAAGAACACCGTTTCCTTCCAAGGATGATTCGCGAGGCTATTGAAATCAAAAAACATCCTAATTTCAATAGAGAAGATGGCTGGGTGCTACCATCTGCTTGGGATCCTATAATAAATAAAATTAAATCCCAACCCAAACATACAACTGCAAGACTCCATGATACCATAAGTTCATACTGTGTAGATCGGAACAAAAGTTAAATTTTAATATATGGTAACCGCGGTTAACTATGACAGCTGGACATTGAACATCTCAGTCCTTCCCGTGACCATGGGTGCTGTAAAGCTCTCGAAACGTCGGGTAAATAAGTTAAATATACGCGATAAATTCCGTAAAAAATTAGTATTATTTCAATGTGAAGTCAAATGTCCTATTCATTGAATAAAACTAAATTTACGGATTTTATCGCGTTTATTTCACTACTTTTACTTATTTTTAATTCTCGACGTTTCGGGTGCTTTACAGCACCCATGGTCTCGGGGGGGGGGTGACTGAGATGTTTGACGTCCCAATGTCATAGTTAGTCCGGCTACCTTCAGTTTTTGAATATTAATTTTTGGTCCGATTTAAGCAAAACGAGCTTATAGTATCATGAAGTCTTGCAGTGGTATGCTTAGGTTTGGGTTTAATTTTGTTAATTATAGGATCCCAAGCAGGTGGCAACACCCATCCATCTTCTCTATTGAAATTTGGATGTTTTTATAGTTTTGCTACCACAAACTTGTTTTAGAGTATTTAGATTAGACCATGTGCCTAGCCAAACAAAACCATTGCAAAAATCGTTTTAGATTTTAAGATATAAGAAATATTTCTGCTAATTTTTTTCTTCTAATGGGAGCAATTATCATGAAATATTGTTATATCTTAAAAAAAGATATACACAGTTCCTAAAATAAATTTAAATAACAAAATTATAAGAGGATGGACGCCTTGAATTCTGAATTCATAATGGCGGCGAAATATAAATTTACAAATGAACATAGAAGTCGTGGAGACACCTAAAGATATTTGTAGTCTAATAAGTTGGTATTTAAATATATATATACATATACACCTAACTATTAACTACTTACTGTTTTAAATTGTTTTCAGATTTAGCTATATAGCAGGATAAGACATAAAATATAGTGTGACAGTATTTCAATATGTCGTAAGTATTTCTCTGTGATATTTTAACAAGTTGTACTTGCGTTTTTAAATTAATATATTTGTAATAAAAATTTTACCATGTTTCTCAGGATTTTAACAATGCAGAAATAAAGGTTTGTAGAAACTACAAAAGGTACACGTATTTATTATCGTTTCATATTTACGCCTATACATTCCACACGCACTGAAGTTTGGTTTTTGGCGGATGGTTTTATGTTTTGCGCACAAAAATAATCGCACTGCATCAATATATAACGACTGCCTTGTGCATTATATCTACCTATAAAATTGACCCTATTAACAATTCTACACACACATTTTAGGTCTATAAATCATTTGGGTGAATCGAGCACAGGGTGCCAAGGCCGCACAGATTTTAGAGGCCGCAGAGGCCGTGGAGGTCGCACAAACCGCGGGGGTCGCACAAACTGTGGAGTTTGCACAGACCGTGGAAGCCGAATTAGTCGACGAGCTCGAAGAAGTCGCATAGTGATTTTAGGTAATAAGTGTTTTTGTTATGGAATGATAAGTATGCTCATTTTTCGTATAACAGAATAACTATTTAGTAACAGTTTGAACATGAAAAAATGCAACTTGTTTCAGAGGATATTCAATCGGTGCCGCCACATGGAGATACTCGTATAAGAGAAGAGAGGGAATATGGTAAGTATTTTCAAATTCACTCTCAAACAAATAAACAGGATCTGTGTAGATTATACAATGTGTCCCAAAATTCAACGATAAACGGGCACCAGAAGGTGGACCTGCTCATGACTAGTCGAGAAAAAAAAGAAGAAAAAAAATCTAAATAGTTTTTGAAATTAGAAAAAAAATGAAATTCTTCGAAAATCGATACCCGGGATATGGTATTTTTAAATACCATGACCACATTTTCAATATTTTTTTGTATTTTTTTGTATCGGCAACCTTAGTAGTACTGCTATCTACCACAACAAGTTGCGTCAATTTAAAAAAAAACTTGCCATAGTAGTGTCAGTACTCTTTTTTTACATCACGATGAGTGAAAGTGGAATGACAGTAAAAATCTTTCAAAATTTTAGGGGAAAAATTAATTTTGATTGATTTTTGTGTAAAAACTATATGTATTCTGAGATTTATAAGGGTTGTGGTAGATAGCAGTACTACTAAGGTTGCCGATACAAAAAATACAAATAAAAATTAAAAATGTGGTCATGGTAGTTAAAAATAGCATATCGGGGTATCGATTTTCGAAGAATTTAATTTTTTTTTGTAATTTCAAAAACGATTTAGATTTTTTTCTTTTTTTTCTCGAGCAGTCATGAGCAGGTCCACCCTCTGGTGCCCGTTTATCGTTGAATTTTGGGACATATTGTATAATATTTGGTACCTATATTACCATTTTTGTTATAGCCGATATACCGTACAATTGGCACCAGCTGCGGATATCGAAGTTGATAAGTGTAAAATTTCCTTTAATTATTATTTTCGATAAAGAATGTGTATGAATACACCAATTTTGTTATAAAGCATGTTCTGATATCATCGGACGAAGATGAGGACATTTTTAACATAGGTACGCCAGATACTGCCAGTGCTGATACAGTACCTAATTCGCCTTCTTCGTTAGACAGCAGCCAAAGCCGTTTGACAACAGCCTTAAATTTAGAATTAATGTTACGGACTCCGGAAAAGATAGGAAACTTGTCCCTTGATCACCTAGACATTAGCTCAGATGATGAAACTAGGTTTTTTGAAAGTTGGTTTAATTTTGTTCCAATTGCTAAGCGTTTTCTTATTCCCAATTATAATAAAATTGCAGTGCTGCTGAGCATGTTAACATTGTTTTATTTTTATCATAGTTCCATTGATCACGACAGGCGTTCAACATACCGGCCAAGTACATATACGAGAGGTGGGTGAAGTACTGGGCGTGTACGTACGCGGGGTGTTAGTAGTAGGTAAATTTTACCTTTGTATTATTTTGTTTCTTTGACGTATTTGCTTGTACAAAATATAACCTTACTTTAACTGACGTTTATATATTTCATTGTTTTATTATATCACTAAAAATGTGCTTAAGTATTCCACATTTTAAGATCAGGTTATTTTAGGTTTTATAAAAGCATGATTCCATCTGGTAAGAGACGACATACAGAGGAGGTGGACCCTCTTATATTCGGTGAGAGACTAGAAGTACCCACGCATATCAAAAAATGCGGTGCCTTCATCTGCGCAGTAAGTATCTCTACCCGCAGCATGTGATCATGAACATATATTGCCGTTTTACCATTTAACATACATACATATATTTTCTTTTTAGATTCATAGAATGTGGTGGAAGCAGATCCAGCACGACTTGCACTACTCAATTAGAGACCATTCCACCAAAACAGCGTCATATTTTAACAGATATTGAAATTGACGATATTATGAATTTTGGTAACTGTTTTATTTAAATATTGACGATACCACTAATTTTTTACTTATTGCAATGTTGTAATAAGCTGATTTATCTTTACAGATAGCGAAGAAAGCGAGTCTAAGGATGAAGTATTCCCCATTTTCGTGCCAAGGTCTGAGCGTATGTTTTTTATGAATGACGACGCTGAGGACGAGGCAGATATCTTCTGGTACTGCTTCAACTGCAACCTCTACCAATTTACCAGAAGTTTCTGGACCTGTCGGCATCTCGGGGAAAATGCCGACAGGAAATGCTAATATACTATACAGCACGCCGGCCAGGCCCGAGCGATTCCTCTTTGATTGGAAAGCTTTTCCAGAAACACCGATCCCTCCACGGGATAGGCGTGAAATTTTTAGAGAAGCAGGAGGTCCTGTTCTGAACTTGCCAAGACAATTGGTACAGAGCCCAGAAGCCATATTTTTGTCCATATGGGACAGCGCAATCATGGGTCATATTGTTACAGAAACAAATAGGTATGCCGAAGAAGAGATTTCTAAAAGACAAGATACTCTTGGAACCCAATCGCGACTGCACCGCTGGACACCTACAAACGTTGACGAACTGTATCTTTATTTTGGGATACTTTTGGCAATGGGACTTTGTTTAAAGTCCAATATTAAGGAATACTGGCATTGCGACGGGTTTATCTGTGACACACCAAATTTCGCAAAACATATATCTTACAACAGATTTATTTTGTTGAATAAATTTATACATTTTGAAAAGCGAAAAATGGTGATAATATCTTGACTTTGAGTCCTTTGGAGGCTAAAATTTATAAAATAAGGCCTATAGCTGACCACCTTAACCAGAATTTTCAGTTATTATGCAAACTGAAATAAAATATTTGTATAGATGAATAGCTGACGCAATGGAAGGGGTGGTTAGCAATTAATCAATTTATAAAAAACAAAGCTGCGTCAATTGGTGTCAAAACCTATGAGGTTTGCGACGCTAAGTCTGGATATCTTTGGCGTTTTGAAATCCACTCGGGCAACAAAGAGAGTACCACCGAGTCGCCCACTCCCATATCTAGGATCATTCCGAATTTGGTCCTCGAAGGGTATCGAGAATAGAGGCCACTGTGTGTGGATGGATAATTATTATAACAGCCCCGCCCTCGCACGTACGTTAAAAACGATGGGTTTTGATTGTGTTGGTACTTTACGTACAAATCGACAGTTCGTACCCCCACAGCTGGCATCTTTATAAAAAGGTAACATGGCTGTTGGAGAAATACAGGGATGCACCAGTGGAGACGTGGATATTTTATTTTGGTCTGGCGAGATAAAAATAGGATAGCAACTATATCCACGTATCACGGCAACGCAGTACAACGTATAAATGACACAATCAAACCGATAGTCATTTGGGACTATAATTTATGTATGGGAGGGCTTGACCGTAAGGATCAAAAACTAGCGATGTTCCCTATGGAACGAAAAAGGACTCGCGTGTGGTACAAGAAACTGTTCAAGCGCCTACTTAATATTAGTGTCTTGAACAGTTTCATCTTGCACTCTGAGTCCCCAGTACCAGAACACCCAGTTCCAAGATTCACCACACACAGAGGTTTTAGATTGGAACTCATTAAGAATTTGTTGAAAAAGAAAGTGCAACCTCCAATTGACGCAATTACCTCACATGGTAGTGCCACTTCTTTCTCAGAAGATTATTTTTTACACCTACCCAAAGAATATCAGACTCTTCCAGGCCGAGGTGGGGAGAAATTGCGCAGGATTTGCGTTGTATGCTGTAAACGCACCCACGTTTATTGCCCTGGTTGCAACTTGACTTTGTGCCTTGACTTGCTTTGCACAACATCACGCCACTAAATAATAATTTTAAGCTTTTTAACCGACTTCTTAAAAGTAGGACGTTCTCAATTCGACCCGTATGTTTTTGTCTTTTGTTTTATACTTTTTTTCTAATTTTTGTTTTTATTATTATTATACAATTTATCCAACTTTGCCATTGTTTCATTTTCGTCATGTTGACACATAAAAACCATTAAAAAAATTAAAAACTATTTTTCACTATTAACAAATTAAACTAAACATGAAAATGTAAAAATAAAAACACCGATGAATTTAACATATTAATATATGCCTTTACAAATAAATATAAAATATTCGACGAAAGACGACTCTATACATGTTATGTCCTTAATTCTCAGTTCGGTTCGAAATTTTGTTAATGTTTTTAGTTGATTTTAATAACTCTAGCAAATCATTAGAAATATGTGTTTATGTTTATTCATTTCAATATCAGTATAGTTATTGACAAAACAATTCATTTATAAAATTATCAAACAGTTTATTTTTTACAGCCTTATCTTTAGCAATGGTATTTTTTGTGGATTTTTTTTGTTTCGTGAGTTATAGAAGATCTGACTACTTAAAACACGCGATGTATTACGAGGGTGGATTGAAAAGTACTCGGCCTAACCAAGAAAATAAACACATACTAAATCAGTTATATTTTTATTTTTCTACATAATCACCATCAAGTTCAATACACTTTTGCCACCTCCCCTTCCAAGCATTTAGACCGTTGAAAAAAAATGATTCTTCCTTAGAGTCAAAATATGCGTCTACAGCTGTTTTGACCTCGTCGTTTGTCGAAAATCTTTGACCTCCCAAGTGCTTTTTTAGGTTAGGGAACAGAAAGAAGTCTGATGGTGCCAGATCAGGTGAATACGGCGGATGCGGTAACAGTTCAAAGCCACAGTTGTGAATTTCAGCCATTGACTGTACTGACGTGTGAACACGGGCGTTATCTTGATGAAACAGGATTTTTCTTCTGAGCATTCCTCGATGTTTTTCTTTTATTTCCTCTCGTAAACGACGTAGTAAGGTGCAGTAGTAATCAGAGTTTATAGTCTGACCCCTTTCAAGATAATCAATCATAATCACACCTTTCGAGTCCCAGAATACTGAAGCCATCACGTTATTTGCCGACAAAATCGAGTTTGCCTTTTTAGGGGGTGGTGAACCAGGTCTTCTCCACTGTTTTGATTGTTGTTTTGTTTCCGGTGTACAGTAATGAACCCATGTTTCGTCCATAGTAACAAAACGATTCAAAAAATCATCTGCATCGGCTTCAAGTAACTCCAAACAGTCGCGTGAAATAGTCAATCGCGTCCTTTTTTGTTCAACTGAAAGCAGTCGCGGAACCCACCTCGCAGACACCTTGTGGAAACCCAACTCGTTGATAATGATGTTTTGAGTTCGTTCATAAGAGATGCCTATAATCTCGGCTATCTCTTTAATTTTTAATCTGCGGTCTCCCATTATTAAATCAAGTACTTTTTTTAATATTTTCGTCAGTAGTTGACGTCGAAGGCCTTCCAGAGCGGGGTTCATCTTTCACACTCTCTCTACCACGCTTAAATTCTGCTATCCATTTTTTGATGGATGAATATGACAGAGCACAATCGCCTAATGTACTGACCATGTCATCATGGATGGCTTTTGATGATAGCCCCTTCTTATGGAGGTTCTTAATGACGGCACGCTGCTCGATTTGCTCCATTCGCGGAAATTATGTCCGATTACTTTGTTAATAAATTTATAAAATCACAACTAATTATCGCACACGTTTCGAACTTCACACAATGAACTAGTCTGAACTGAACTAAATAATGTGGGTAGATTTGATTTTTAGAATTGAATGGATCTGTGTTAGGCCGAATACTTTTCAATCCACCCTCGTATAAAAGAAACTCGTTAACAAGTTGAGCATAATAGGGGACTACAAAAAATATTTAAAGTGGCTAATCAAGGCCAAAAATGGCTTTGAACTCACATTTGTTGCAAGGATATTATTTTGCTTTCACAACTTCGCTTTCAAATCTATTTCTTTGACTAATTTTATGAGAAGAGGATGATTTTACCTATTTATATTAGTAAAATAAATAATAAATAACATTATAAGACCTTTTATAATGGTATCAATGATTCATATTGATTGTTAGCGACGTGCTCAAAAATCGTTATACAAATTTGTATTAGCTTAAGGTGGCGGGTATGACGGCCCAATCGTCTCATATGTTTAAATATTATATTAAATTTTAAGGTAGAAAATCGAGGATACGTGTGACGTTACAGTGTTTTAAAAAAAAAAACTAGAAATCGAACGGCGACGCAGGCAGTCAGCCTTTACTATCGCGCGCGACACACGTACCCTTGCTCTCTCTCATATGCTCTTGTTCGTGTACCTACGTTGTGTCATTTAAAAATAAACGGTTTTAACGAATTTTGGTTTTCGAGTTTCCTACCATTTTATCGCGCCAGTGCACCCTTTACAAAGTGGTCTTCGAACCGGATCTAATGTTCAGCACGCCGCCTGCAAAAATGGTAAAAACTCGAAGCACTACACGCAAGGAGCTCGAGAGCAAAGAGGACGAAAATCAGGAAGTCCAGTTACAAGTGCAGCCACAGCCAACTGATGGAAATACACAGAAGGATAAACAGACACCGAACGCTAGCCAACTATATGATGTTGCGGGTAGCAGCGTCAAGCCGTCCACTTCGCGCACCGGGGCTAAGTCAACGTCCACTTCGTCCTCTCTGATGGCCAGGAGAAAGAAACTGGAACTAGAGATGGCTAAAGAAAATACTAAAATTCAAATGGATCTCATCTATAAGCAGTTTCAGGCGGATTTAGCAGACCTTATGGATGAAAAAGAGGAAATATACAGTCCACATAGTGACCCGCACGACGACACCAAGAATAAGAAAGTGGAGCAATGGTTAGAACAAAGCCAGCTCGAGCGCGAACCCCCGTTGCACGCTCCAGAGTTCGGTGATCAGCCGGGCAAGCAGTGTCCGCCGGCGGTACCCGTTGCTGGCCCATGTGACGGAACGGTTCATATGCTCGCGAGCGCACTACAGAATCTATCCTCGATCTCTGCAAATAATGGGACAAATAACAACCTGCTTAGTCGCATGTGTACCCCCCGGGACCTACCTAGTTACTCAGGGGACTCGTTGAAATGGCTCCAGTTCAAGCAGGCTTATGAAGAGTCTACCGAAGTGTGCGGGTTTAGCCCGAAGGAAAATTTATGGCGTTTAAGGAAGTGTCTTCACGGGCCAGCTAAGGAAGCAGTTTCAGCTCTACTCTAGTGATAAAAACTTTAGAGCTACTATACGTACTATACGTAACGCAGACACCATTCTAAGCAAAATTACCCAGGGCCTGAAGAAACTACCACCTATGTCGAACGAATACAACAAAGACATCGTGTCGTTCTCAGTTAAAGTTCAAAATTTCATCGCAGCTGTGCACGCCGTCAGCCGAGAAGAGTACATGCAAGGAATGCATATTTCAAATATTATTTTATCCAAGATGCCTACCGTACTAATATCAAAATGGTCCGATTATAGTTTTGCTATAATAAAGGAAGAAAAGAAATCACGTTTGAATATATTAGGCGATTTTTTAAAACCAGAAGCTTTGAAAAGGGGGACGCCCATTTTCGGCCATGGAACGCCCAACAATGTGAATTTGTTAAAAAATTATATCTTTATTTACGGTTATTAATCGCGGTATTCATTTATCCTCAAACAATGGGAATATTTTTGCACAAATTAAAAGTACCGGAAACATAATAATAAAAATTAGGTAAATCTTTATGTCATTAGTTCGTGAATAAAAAAAAGTGTTGCCAATCACAAAACACATTAAAAAAAATCGATTCTCTTTTTCGATCGATTATTTACGGTGTCATCATTACAGTGCTAATATAA